CATCAGCTTTCTTCACCACATTTGCTTATTCACCCGCTTTGTCTTCAGCGGTTGTGTCGGGAAGGTGAGCATCATAGAATGCCAATTTAATAGTAACACTTTAGATGCATGTTTTAAAGCTCTTAAAACTCACCAAAGTCGGATGGGGAACATTGAGTTTGTGTCTTATGCCAATTAACCACAACTTTCCTCCTAAGCCCAGTGATTAGTTCCCTTTAAGTGTTTAGTTATGGGTAATGCATTTACATACCTGAGGTAAACAGCATGGAGGTGGACATAGCTGATCTCCTTTAGCTTCCCTATTGCCTTGAGGAAAGAGTCAAAGAGCCTCCATGCTCCATCCTTTCTTATCTATTCTGACCCCAACCATTCCTTCCATGTCACATCCATGGTGGTTTCAATAATTCCGTGCCACGGCCACAAGGAGCACACAGACAATACTCATCATTTAGGGGATCTATTCGGAAGGTCAATAGGTTATCATAAATTAGCATCAGCACCCAGTAAGGATATAGCCATTGGCCTCCGCAGCCAGCAGCCAAGCCTCTATCTCTGGTCTTCAGTATCTCAGACACATGGTCTCTTGGTCTTGACGTCCATGGGCTAGGAAGCCAGCTCTCTTCTCACTTTCTCCCATAGTTCCAAAGAATTGGGCCAGATGAAAAGTCTTACCACAGAGTCTTGGTGCTGCTCCTTTGAGTCTACACCCTACCGTTTCTGATGCATCTAGCTTTGCTGGCCTCCGCCACTTCACACAGAGATCTTCGTAATGCTCTACCAAGGTCCTTGGGTTTCTCTCTCTGCTGCTGCTTCAAGATGGTTCATCCTCCAAAGGACGATGTAAAATATGAAAATAATAATCTATAATTTTTCAACAGTTCATGAGGGATGGAGGGTGGGGGAGGGAGAGGGGAAAATGAGGTGCTGATACCAAGGGCTCATGTAGAAAGAAAATGCTTTGAAAATGATGATGGAAACATCTGTACAAATGTTCGTGACACAATGGATGAATATATGGGTTGTGATAAGAGATATAAGAGCCCCCAATAAAAGTATTTAATAATCATGAAAAAGGTTGGTTCATCCTTATAGCCTGAGGTTGTGGGGGAGTGGGTGGGCTGCGTCATGAAAGCAGACTACTCCCTTCTATTAGTGGTATACAAGTCCTTTACATAATATCACTCAACCATTTGGTGGGTGTTAAAGAGACTTGAGTTATTGTTATTAGGGTCCATCCAGTCAGCTCCCACCCATAGCAACCCTATACACAACGGAAGTCCAGTCCTGTGCCACCTTTATAAGTGTTCTTATGCCTGAGCCTGTTGTTGCAGCCAGGGTGTCAGTCCGTCTCATTGAGATCTTCGTCTTTCATGCTGCGCCTCCACTTTCCTAAGCACGATGTCCTTCTCCAGGGACTGGTCTCCCCTGACAAGGAGTCTTGCTATCCTCCCCTTTAAGGAGCATTCTGGCCTTACTTCTTGCAATACAGATCAGTTTGTCTTTTTAGCAGTCCATGGTACTTTTAATATTCTCCAGCATCACAATTCCAATACTTTATTCAATGTCCAACTTCTACATGCATATGGTGATATGGAAAATACCATGGCTTGGGTAAGGCACACCTTAGTCTTCAAAGTAACATTCTTACTTTTCAGCACTCTAAAGAGGTCTTGTGCAGCAGATTTACCTAATGCAACATGTGGCTTGACTCTTGACTGTTGCTTCCATGAACATTGATTCTGGATCCAAGGAAGACAAAATTCTTGACAATTTCAACTTTGTATCCATTTATCATGAGGGTCCGTCCAGTTGTGAGAGTTTGGGTCTTCTTCACATTGAGTCAGAATCAATACTGAAGGCTAAAATCGTGGTTCTTCAGCAGGAAGTGCTTGAATTCCTTCTCGCGTTCAGCAAGCAAGGTTATATTATCTGCATATTTCAGGTTGTGAATTGGCTTTCCTCCGATTTTGACACCACATTCTTCTTCATATGGACCAGCTTCTCTGATTATTTTCTCAGCATACAGATTGAATAAATATGGTGAGAGGTTACAACCCTGATAAATACCTTTCCTGATTTTAAACCATGAGACTTGCATAGAAGAACCATATTTTAAAAAAAATTCACTCCACCATAGGACTTTTGCACCCTATTCGGGCTTTTAAAATATGAATATATTTACAGCTCCTACAAATATGAGGGGGCTTCAAAGAGCTCATGGGAAAATTCTACTCTCTTTTAATTCCATTTCATATAAACTCTTTTGTCTGTATATAGATGTCTTCCAAAGCTATATGTCGTTGTGATGCAGTGTGGTCACTTTTGCCTACCCATAGCTGCTGCCCTTGCCTGTCTGCCTAGCTACCCACTTGTAGATTAGTGTTTGTTATTCCTGCTGATGCATGAGGGTTGCATATCTACCTTTATTTGCTGGTTAATGTTTAATGTATGTAATTCACAGTAAATCCCACATTATATTCATAGTATCCCAATCTAGCTAATGAAATAATTACACCACATTGGATTTCTCTAGTCAGTTTTCTTTGCTTCTTCTTTCACTCCTGGTCTTCATCCCTGGAGTGTAATGATTTTCACCGCTTGGGTCTTTTTCTTCTCTAAGTGTACTCCCTGGACGAGCTAGTCTAGTCTGATCACAGCTTCATCCACCATCTCTGTGCCCATGACTCTGCAGTCATACAGCCTGGAGGCGCTGCTCCTGAATTCTACATACAAGTTTAATATCGAGAATTACATTTTAGATTGACAATTCAAATTTCTGTACAAACATGAACTTCTGATCTTTCCCTTAAATTAACTCAAGGCAGCCTTTCTCAATTTGGTGGGTGGCATTTCCATTTGTGTGGCGGCTCATGTCCCAAACCCAGGAGTCCGCCTTCATTATTCTCCTCCTCATGGATCCCACACTTCACTCATTAGAGAATCTTGTTGATACTGCCTTCTTTGAGTGGCAGCAGAAACCGACTGCCTGGTTGCTCTTAGTGTACAAATTAAAAAATAAAATAAGCAAGGGTAAGAGAGGTAAATAAACCTACCAAATTTACCTTATTAGTAAGGGATCCAATCAATATTCCAAGTCAGATTTTCTGTCTGGTCACACAAATCCTATGTTCTTTCCATAATACCAGTCTTTCTTGAAAGTAGTGTGACAATTGATTTTTCTCCCTTTATGTATTTTAGCAGAATGGTTTTATCTGCTGTATAACTTGACTTTATAAGCATATGTATTATGTCAGTGCTTTGGACATACAGTAATTTCACCAGTGCTGGACAATTAGTTGAATTGATTGGTACTCACTTGTCCTTTTTTCTCATTCTGGGTCAAGAATCATGTTTTTAATTTTAAGATGTAATTAGCTAAGATTGAGTGTGCAGGGAGAAAAACAAATGTTAATGAAATAAAATGTTTCAGTAGATCACTTAGAAAGCTCTATTTTCAAAGATTTCCTTGCTACATCTTTGTGACATTTGAACATTATTAGGTCCTGCTACATTATGTATAAATATGTTTATGTTTATTCCATGTTATTTCACATTGATGTGATGCTAATCATTTAGAATTAGATTGTAGAATTATTATTTAAATTATTTGGCGTTTCCCCCCAAGGGCCTGGGTATCACGGAGACACTTTATAAATTTTGAATCCCCTGGACTCTAAACTCTGCTATTGGCTTATATTGGTCAAAAGGAAAAGGGTTGGCATCTTAGTAGAGATACGTCAGAGAAGAAATTTCAGTTTTGATTAAGTTTTTGAAAGGGCCCTCTTTACTGATATAAAGGAAGTTATCCCTTGATTATATTTATGTATTTGCATGTAGAAATTAAATAAGTTGAGCTGAATTTCTCTGGTTAGGTGACATGCTCATAGAAGCTATAATTTTAGCTCACAGACGCTATAAATTTAATTTAATTTGGAGTGATGTCTATTAACATATTTGGGAGGCTGACAACTGTCTTTATTCACTTTATAAATGTGTAAAGAATTTTTCTTAATGAAACATTTTAAAATCTCTTGAGGAAATTAACTTTATCTTATCTTCTAAATTTGAATTTAAAATATATTTGTTTTGTTATTTCATCAATATGTATTATGTTGTTCTGAGGATGAAATTTGATGAATACTTAACTCATAAAAGTAATTTTTCCATGTCAAATTCTGTCCAATCACTCACCCATTCATTTACCCATACACCTCCATATCTTCCTTTTGATAGAGATATCTTTTTGTATAAATTTTCTTCTAAGATACTTTTATAGATTTGGGAAATAAAACTAAAACCAAGCTCACTATCCTGTAGCCATTGTCAACTCATAGGGACTCAATAGAGTAAAACTGCCCTGTGAGTTTCCGGACTGGGGGTCCATACGGGAATAGAAATCCTCGATGTTCTCCCTCTGAAAGGCCAGTGGTTTCCAACTGCTGGTCTTTGGGTCAACAGCCCAACTCGTAACCACTGCATCACCAGGATTCCTAGATTTTGGAAATATCTTTTCAAACAATGTGATTATATATGAGTTCTTTTTTAAAAATAAACAATTTTCAGTTATTATTCTTTAATGGTACTTGGATGAATTAATGATGTCTTGCCCTGCCGTTGTACTGATGTTTATTAAGGAAAGAAACTCAATTCGCCACTTCTAAGAAAATGACTCAGACAGAAAAACCCTAAAGTAAAAGTTAAGGGAAATTTTCATTTCTGGAAAGTCTTAGCTCTCCACTTATCAAAATGGTAATCTTAGAGTCTTCGTATTGTAAAGTAAACAGATTGACGATATTGCTGCCTTTGCTTTGTTGTAGTGTTTGCCAATTAAAGGCCAAGGATTTGTGCTTGGAGCTTATCGGTGCATTTGCAAAACAGGATTCTACCATCCTCGCGTCTTCTCAGTGAACAACTTTCAGAGTAAGTCTCATTTGCATATATGAATAAACATGTCTGCATATCTACATATTTACCGCTATACATCAGAACCAACCCGACGTCACCTAACAGCAACAGTGGGCAAGTCCATCATCGATAGTGTTATTGTTGTTCACATTCTCTTTGCACCTTTTTGGAGTTGTATGACACATCCCCTTAGCTTAACATTGTGGTTTCTATCGCTTACAATGTTTTGACCTTGTACTGTAATACATAATACCCTGTGTGCGTTTCCTACCCTACATGTTTTTATTTTTAAGATATCTTAGTTTTAAGTGAAGCTTAAAAGACTGAAAGTATTCTAACTACTGGGTAAGACTAATTAGGTGGAATTATTAAGAGCTGCAGAAAGTTTGTAAAACTACTTCTATTCATTTATATTTCAATTGTTGGTTTATGAAGTTTTCTATACTGTACAAAACACCAACACAAAGTTAATAGGATAAAATAATGCGAGTGTATTTGCTCCCAGTTTCTACTAGATATTCAACAGGAATCTCATCAAAGGTCAGGTAGCTCCTTTGCTTAGTGTATCAGATGTGATTTGTCCTTGGGCGTCACCCTCTTGAAATTGTGTTACAAGTTTTTCTGATTTCTTTATACAAATCCCAGGGTTGATGAACATAGAGGGTCAACAAGTACAAAAAGGTTTTGTTTTTATTTGGGGGTGGGACTAGTACAGTGGTGATGGTGGTGATGGGGTAAAAGGGAGACAACAATGTCAAGGAGTTGGGAAACTGATTGTGGTAGTAAGTGTACACTACTGCTTGACGTGATTGAACTATGGAATTATATACATATTAACACCCAATTAAAAATAAACAGGCAGAAACAGCAAACCTACTGCCATCAAGTCAATTCAGAATTGTGTCACCGTGTACAGTAGAATGGAACGCCATTGACTTCTGAGGATGTAAATCTTTATGGAAGCGGATTGCTTCATCTCTTCTCAAGTGGACCAGCTACTGGGTTTGAACCTATGGTCTTTGGTTAGCAGCTCTGTGCTTAACAGTGCCACCAACACACTGGTGATTCTTTGCTCAGGGTAACACTGACCTCAAATCAAGGTGTTGGCCTGGACTGCAATCTTTTCTGAGGCTCAAGATCCTCTTCCAAATTAACTCAGGTTTGGGGAAAATTCAGTTGTTTGCAGTTTATAGACGGAGACCCTCATTCTCTTGATAGTGGTCAGCTGGTGTCAGCTCCTATAAATTATCCTCAGAGCCTAGCCACGCAGTCCTGTCAGAAGATAGTGGCTTACTTATCCAAGGATAACAGGAGAGTCTCACCAGCATCATGTCATGGAAACATCAGAATGGCTATTCTGTTATTTTGTCATATAACTTGATCGAAAAAGAGAGTATTCCATTTTTACAGAGCCACCTAAATGGGAGAGATTTGTCAACAGAAGTACAGGGGCAGTGGGATTGGTATCCATATTAGAAATCTGCCTGCCATAGTTTATACTCTGATCACCAACGATTAAAGTCCTTTCCAAACGCAAAATACATTCATTCCCTCTCCCAAACCCTACCCACAAAATCTCCTCTCATTACAGTAGCAAAGTCTAAGCTCTCATCCCGAGAGCCAAAATCTCAAGTTTTTTTCCCTCAAGGTCCCAAACCTTCTTAATTCAGAGTCCAAACTTAAGCCCTAATTTGGCTGAGACTTCAATGTATCATTCAGTAAGTATAATTTTTCTCCATCTCCTCCTGTAAAACTGGAGGGAAAAGAGATCTGAGCTCAGAATGGCCAAACATACAGGGTAGGACAGGCCTAAGAGAGCAGCTGTAGGCATTCTGGTTCAAAGAGTGGGAAAATAAAGACAAGAGCAGTCTTTTACTAGGTGTCAGGGCTAGAAAAGTTCCTTGGGCTTTCAGCTCTTCTCTGCCTCTTGGTTCTGTTCTTTGAGTCCATCTTCCCTTTATTATTTTTCCCCCACAAAAGGGGGGCCTCTGTTTTTCCGGTGGGCAGGTTTGTGATCCCGCTTCCTGCCAGTAGAATGTTGAGGACCAAGCACCCTCCTTTTCATTGCTGCTTTCTCAATCTTTTTCAGTCCTCAGTTAGCATTTTTCTAGTGATATAATTTTCTCAAGACTGTTGTGGGACTCCCATGAATTTCAGAATTCACATTCATAGACAAAATTTGTACTCACAGATCACATTGAAAAAAATCTCTTTTCTTTTATCCCGGCTTCCTGGCAAATGGCAGAAAGACGAAGCTTATACACTTCCTACATGCCATCTGGTTTGGCTGAGATGGTCTTTCACACATTGCATCTCTTGAAAGGACCCTTTGTGTCACTACATAGTCTGACCTTTTTTAAAAATCTCTATGAGATTTTAGCAAAAAGTTGTACATCTCCATACTGGATGCCAGTCATTTTTTAACTGGGTCTTTTGCCATTAGGACAGGCAGAGAATATTAAAAAAATATTAAATTCTTTTTCCATTTACTTTGAATTCTTCCTTCAATTTATCTCTCCCATTGAGCATTTTACTATTAAGAGCTAGAAGAAATAAGGCACTTTCTACACCAGCGGTTCTTAACTTGTGGGTTGCAGCCCATTTGTGGGTCAAATGACCTTTTCACAGGGGTCACCATATTCAAAACAGTAGCAAAATTACAGTTATGAAGTAACAACGAAAATAATTTTATGGTTGGGGGTCACCACAACATGAGGAGCTGTATTAAAGAGTCATGGCATTAGGAAGGTTGAGAGCCACTGTTCTACACTTTGCTTAGAAATCTTTTTAGCTGTCTCATGTACTCTAATCAAAGGAGGAACCATCTCATTGAATGCACGTGCCCTGCCCATATTCCAGGTCGTGTATTATGGAGGATGGACATCTGGGGAGCTGTCTTAATCCTGCCCAACAAAATTCATTTACACAATGTAAATGTAGGAATGAAAACCTTCTGAAACCAATTAAAGGACAACTCGTGGTTTTAATAGAGCAGTGGTTCTCAACCTTTCTAATGCTGCAACCCTTTAATACGGTTCTTTATGTTGTGGTGACCCCCAACCATAAAATTATTTTCGTTGCTACCTCTAACTGTAATTTTTCTACTGTTATGAATCAGGCGACCTCTGTGAGAGGGTCATTAGACTCCCAAAGGGGTCGCAACCCACAGGTAATAGAGGTTATGAGTTGGAATTGACTCAGTGGCAGTGAGAATAGTAATTCACTCTTGAAAGACCCCACATGGCATAATGGGTTCTATGTTGGGCTTCTAAACATAAGGTCAGCAGTTCAACTCCACTAGCCCTCTGAGGCTGTCTTCTCCTGTGAAGAATTCACAGCCTTGGAAATGAAAAGTGGCAGTTCTACTTGACCCTACAGTGTTGCTATGAGTTCAGAACAGTAGATGGGGTACATTGTTTGGGACCATCAAGAGCATGTTCAAATATAAAAAGTATTATACATGCGATAGATTTTCCCTCTGTGCTCTTGTAAAACTGAAGGGAAAAGAGATTTGCACCCAGAGTGACCAAACATATGAAGTGGGTAACTGACCCCCCACCCCCCGCTCTGCCCAACCAAGTGGAAAAAAGCTCCACTGGGCAGAACTTCCTTAGTACACATTTTCCCTCTACGTGAGCATCAAGCAACTCATTTGGAGTTAGTGCACCCAGTGGCATCTCCTGGGAAGGTTCCCTTTGGTCACAGTGATTTTTTTCCTTAAAAGCAGTTTCCCTCGAACCTCATTTTTTGTGATGGCTGATTTAAGAGTATAGTGTATGGCTGTGAAATTGTTTTCTGCTCAGGAAAAATGCCACAGAAACTGTTGTGATGTTGAACATAGTTTGCAAGGACAGCACTATGGGAAAAACTCAAGTGTATGAGTGGTTTTCTCGTTTGACAAATGGTGAAACATCACTTGATAACAAACCTCATTTTGGACATCTGTCAAGTTCCTGAACAGACAAAAAGGTTAACTCATAGTGCATTTGGAGTTTGTTCCACTAGGTCGGACTGTCAGTCAAGCTTTCTATTTAGAGGTCCTGAAAAGATTGCTTAACCTTGTGTGACAAAAAAGGTCTGATTTGTGGCAGATGGGGAACTGGTTTTGACATCATGACAATGCACCTGCTCATGCAGCCATCTCAGTGCACCAATTTTCAGCAAAAACCAGCATGTCTCTCTTGCCCCATACACCTTACTCACCTGACCTTTCTCTGTGTGACTTTTTTTGTTTCCTCAAATGAAGAGGGACTCGAAAGGATAGCAATTTGACGACACAGAAGAGGTGAAGATAAAAAGGAGGGAGGTGCTGTCAGCCATCCAAACAGAGGAGTTTGAAAAATGTTTCCAAGAATGGAATAGCAGTTTTGACAAAAGCATTAAGTGTAATGGAGAGTACTTTGAAGGTGATAAGGTTGTTTTGTAAAACAAATTTAAATGTATAGCTTTGGGGGGAAGAATCCAGTTTGAGGGGCGTACCCCCCTTGTACAATACTGGGACAGGCATAGGATAGCAGTTATAAGCACTCATGTTGGTATGTTCTAAGTAGAGACTAGAGGATAGAGATGAGATAAATATGATATATTTTTAAAGAATTATTCATTGCACTTATTTAACAAATAAGTAATGGTATGATTTTGGGTGAGATAAGCTTTCTATGTCTCAGGTGTTGTTTGTTAACAGGGTTTTTTAGGACATCATCCACATGTCCTACAATTCAATAAATCAATAATATCAAGATGAGTTGTACAGTTATGACCACATTCAATTCTAGAACATTGTTTTAATTTTGAAAATGAGGCTGATGGTAGTGCAATATATTGAATTCTTTTGAGAATTAAATGAGGCAGTGAATATAAAGCAAAAATGGAATTTGGAAAGCACTCAGTTAATGCTAGCTATTATGAATAATTGTTATAATGATAAAACTCCCTGGTGGTGAAGTGCATTGGATGTTTAGCTGCTTATCACAAGGTAAGCAGTTCAAAACCAGCAGCTGCTCCATGAAAGAGAG